TCTCTCAGATACTCCTGACTTAATCCTATTTATTTCTACCCCCTTCAGCTTTGGCTAGGACATCCAACTTCTTTTCATTCATAACATCAGCAATCATCTCTTTCTTATCATCCGCACTACATCCACGCACATTCAAACATCCCAATTTTATAAAGTTTTTCTTTTCCTTGTTTTTAGTAATTTATACAGGAGAAGGGGTTACTAGCCCACTGCTCCCAGCATTTAGTCACCTCTTACAACATGCATAGCTTACGGAGGAAGAATTCTGTTCCACATACTTCATGCTATTTGGAAACAGTCTTAAATATCCAACTTAACATATCAATAAATAGCTCCCCTATTACAAGACACACTGAGGGTAAATTTTTAGGTTTTCTCCTTGACTGTAATCTTAAATTTCATTCCCACATTCCAGCATATATCCAAGAAAATTTCCAAATCAGTAGGCATCCTTTCCAAGATATGATACCTTGTACCCCAAATGACACTCCTTACCCTATACCACTCTTTAATATATCCCGACCTCACCTATGGTATTTGTGCCTAGGGGATCAACCACAGCCAACCTTCAATAACCCAACAAAAAGCTGCTGTGTGAATGATTACCAGCTCCTGTGCCAGACAGCACACCCCACCGCTTTTCAAAAGCCTGAACCTACTAAATATACGAGACATACACTCGTATTATTGTGCCTACTATATATACAGTACATTAAACTCCAATATAAACCCTCCGCTTAAACTTCTCCTTAATAGCTACAACAGAACACAGTCACAAGTCACATCCCTCATGTTAGTCTCACACTATGCAAAAATGCAATGCACATTAAGGGCCTGAAGATCTGGAATTCACTACCTGAACTGGTAAAGGATCCCCAGACAACATATAAGTTTAGGGCTATGCTTAAAAATCATCTTATCTCTCAATATTAACCAAACCAACCAAAACACAACTAACCAGTTTGAATCAACTCCCAAATATTATATGTCCTCGGGCTTAGGTAGTAGGTTGGCAGCAACCACCCAGTAAGGTACTACTCTCCTGCCAAGTGAGTAAATTGGAAGCCTGTACTTGTTTAACATGATGGTAGGATTGCTGGTGTCTTTTCTGTCTCAAACATGCAAGATTTCAGATACAACTTGCTACTTCTACTTACACTTAGGTCACACTACACATGCATGTACAAGCATATACATGTAAATACGCACCCCTCTGGGTTTTCTTCTATTTTCTTACTAATTCTTATTCTTGGTTATTTCCTCTTATCTCTATGGGGAAGTGGAACAGAATTCTTCCTCCATAAGCCATGCGTGTTGTAAGAGGTAACTAAAATGCCGGGGGCAAGGGGCTAGTAACCCCTTCTCCTGTATACATTACTAAATTTAAAGAGAGAAACTTGTGTTTTCTTTTTGGGCCACCTTGCCTCAGTGGGATACGGATGGTTTGTTGAAAAAAAGAAAAGAAGACCTCGAGTCTATTAAAACATCTGCCAGTCCATGAAATATTGCTGTTTGAACCATTATTTGTAATATTGTTTTTATGTACAACTTCAAGATTATTATTCTTATAAACCTCCACCTTGACTACCTCACATTAGTATGAATTAAGATAAAATAAAGATTTATTAAAAAGCTAACCACACCTATCTTGTCTAGACTTAAGCCTTTGACTGTCAGTGTCGTTTATATACATCTTACGAGCTAGTGTTATTGACGTATTAATACGCCAAAATTCTAGCGGCTTCAAATCAAGCGGGAGAAAGCTGGTAAGCTCACATGTGAGAGAATGGGTCTGTGTGGTCAGTGTGTGCAGTATAAAAAAAAAACTTCAGCACACAGTGCATATTGAGAAAAAAAAAACTGACTGTGTTTTTGGATTAAAATGCAGACTCTGAGGTGTATTTTCTTATAGTATTTACAGTTGTATTCTCATTTTCTTGGTCTCATTCGATAGAATGGAAGATATGTTACAGAAATAGACATGATTTTGATTGGTTTCATGATGAAAAAGACCTTGAAATTGAGCTCCAATTAGTGGAAATGTTCGATTTTTGCCAATGTTCAAGAGTAAGCATATGATGTCCCTGTCCAATATGTGTCCAACTAGGCATTCTAATAAGCAGTCATGAATAGGTTGACACTATTTATACAATTATTACAATAATGCAGTAGTCTGCATAACAGTAAATCTTCTATTTTTTGTGTGAATAAAAATTCAAAATAGAAAGCAAGAGTAATATAAGAGGGGCCTGGAGATGTGACTAATGAACATATAAAATGTTATTTTAGTGCCAGGAATGTCTGCATTGTTTATTCTAGACCCTGTTTTGAAATTGGCATCCTTTTTAATTTGCATGAAATTGACCAAATTGCCAATTTCTGACCACTTTATTGGGTAGTTGAAATCGGTAAATGGGTGGTTTCTTGTGCTCAGTTGATAGAACAAATGGAGTTCTAAAGAAATAGCTATGAGTTTGGTTGACTGGAGCAATGGAATTGGCCAAAAATAGGACTCAAACTGGGTGAAATCGCCGATGCGTATATATATATCGCCGAGATCACTAACTTCGCAAGAGCGTAATTCTGTAAGTTTTCCATCAAATTTCGTACTTTTGGTGTCATTATCATCAGGTAAAGATTCTCCATCATTTCATATGAAAAAAATATTTTTTTTTTTTTTTTTTTAATATTTTGTGACACAGACACTTCATTATTTGGGGTCTAAACAGTCAAAGGGTTAAGTAGTTACAATGGTACCTCGGGATATGAACAGCTCAAAACTCGACAAATTATGTAAGCGTATTTTTGGGGTCTGAAACGGATTAATCTAATTTGCATTATTCCTTATGGGAACAAATTCGTTCGGTATCGACACTCGAACAGCCTTCTGGAACAAGTTAAGTTCGTATCCCGAGGTACCACTGTATTATGTATGTATTAGGGTAAGTCTGCCTGAAATGCCCCAGCATGATAGTGGCTTTCTTTGAACTTAACTAATCAAATTTTAAATGAACATTACACAAATAACCCGCACATAAAAGAGAAGCTTACGATGACGTTTCGGTCCGACTTGGACCATTTACAAAGTCACACTAACCAGACGTGAAGCAGGACGGCTATATATAGGCAGGAGGAAGAAGAAGAAGAAGAAGAAAAAGAAGAAGAAAAAGAAGAAAAAGAAGAAAAAGAAGAAGAAAAAGAAGAAGAAAAAGAAGAAGAAAAAGAAGAAGAAAAAGAAGAAGAAAAAGAAGAAGAAAAAGAAGAAGAAAAAGAAGAAGAAAAAGAAGAAGAAAAAGAAGAAGAAAAAGAAGAAAAAGAAGAAAAAGAAGAAAAAGAAGAAGAAGAAAAAGAAGAAGAAAAGAAGAAGAAGAAAAAGAAGAAGAAGAAAAAGAAGAAGAAGAAAAAGAAGAAGAAAAAGAAGAAAAAGAAGAAAAAGAAGAAAAGAAAAGAAGAAAAAGAAGAAAAGAAGAAGAAAAAGAAGAAGAGAAGAAAAAGAAGAAAAAAAGAAGAAGAAAAAGAGAGAAAGAAAAAGAAGAAAAAGAAGAAAAAGAAAAAGAAGAAAAAGAAAAAGAAGAAAAAGAAAAAGAAGAAAAAGAAAAAGAAAAAGAAAAAGAAGAAAAAGAAAAAGAAGAAAAAGAAAAAGAAAAAGAAAAAGAAAAAGAAAAAGAAAAAGAAAAAGAAAAAGAAAAAAAGAAAAAGAAAAAAAGAAAGAAAAAGAAAAAGAAGAAAAAGAAAAAGAAGAAAAAGAAAAGAAGAAAAAAAAGAAAAAGAAAAAGAAAAAGAAAAAGAAAAAGAAAAAGAAGAAGAAGAAGAAGAAGAAGAAGAAGAAGAAGGTGGTTGGTTGGTTGGTGGTTGGTTGGTTGGTTGGTTTGGTTGGTTGGTTGGTTGGTTTGGTTGGTTGGTTGGTTGGTTGTTGTTGGTGGTGGTGGTGGTGGTAGTCAGTCAAATACAAAGGAAGGGGAGCACTGCAAGGGAGCTAGGTGCCCACAGAGGGAGAGCAAGCGCACAGAGGTGCGTGAAAGGGGAAGTGGTGAAATAAATGAAGAAGGAACAGAAACACGAGACAGTAGAAAGACAACCCAGGGGAGAAAAAGGAAAGAGGAAAGGGGAAGAGGGAGAAGAAGAAAAAGAAAAAGAAAAAATGAGGAGTCAGGTTAAGTCACGGGTGTTCTGAAGTTTGGAGCATTTTACAATGTAGTGGGAGAGGAAGGCATCTACAGATGCTCTCCCTCTGTGGGCACCTAGCTCCCTTGCAGTGCTCCCCTTCCTTTGTATTTGACTGGCTCGTCCTCCTTATTCCCCACTTCTACCACTACCACCTCTTCTACTACTACTACTACCACTGATGAAATTAAGACATGTGCGGCGTCTGGGTGTCTTTGTTGTGGACGTTTCACCATCCAGTGGCTGGCTGGATGGCGAAACGTATACGATAGAGATGCCCGGGTGTTGCGCATGTGTCTTAATTTCATCTTGTCGGTATTATATACCATTCTTGTACTACTACTACTACTGCTACTACTACTACTACTACCACCACCTCTTCCTGCCTATATATAGCCGTCCTGCTCCACTTCTGGTTAGTGTGACTTTGTAAATGGTCCAAGTCGGACCGAAACGTTGTCGTAAGCTTCTGTCTTTTATGTGCGGGTTATTTGTGTATCGTTCCAGTCACGGTATTGTGCCTTTTTTTGTTATTTATGTAAATGAACATTATAACCTTGCAAAGAAATACAATCATTATCTTTTATCTTTATCCTTATTATTATTATTCTTACATTCATATAGAGCGAGAACTAAACCTCTAAGTCATATAGCAATTGATGGAATGGGAGGCAGTCAGGTTCAATTCAAGGGAGGCTAGGTCCAATTCCTTGGATCAAGAGTACCTCACAGGCATCAAAGCACCTCCCTTAAGGGGGCTATTACTCTTATCATGGGCTGTATTAAACATCACCATTACAAAAAGTTATGCAGTAAGGTACAGTATTGTAACTCACTCATATCAGGAGCTGCCATGTTGAAATCTGGTACCATGGGCACCATTTTATTTGAGCCATATTGTGACATTGCCCGTGGTGGCTGGGTCTGTTCCTGCTGTGGTTGATTTTGTTGTATCTCTTGTTGTGGTTGTGCTGGCTGCTGCTGTGACTGATGTTGCTGCTTCTGGATCTGCTGCTGTTGTGGTGGTTGTTGTTGCTGCTGCTGTGACTGTGACTGTGGCTGTGACTGTTGCTGCTGCTGCTGTTGTGGCTGTGGCTGCTGTGGCTGTGGCTGCTGTGGCAGTGGCTGTTGCTGCTGTGGCTGCTGCTGCAGTGGCTGCTGCTGCAGTGGCTGCTGCTGCAGTGGCTGCTGCTGCAGTGGCTGCTGCTGTTGTGGTTGCTGCTGCTGTGGCTGTTGGTTACGAATAGTGGGCTTTTTTTCTGGCAGAGCTGGACGTTCAAGTGATGAGCACCGATTTGGCACAGGAGGCTTGGGCTTGCCCTGTGTAATAAGAGAAATAAAATTTAACTTTAATGTCAAGTATAAATTGGACCATTTAACTATTTCTTTTTGCTGTATTCCCTCAGACCTGCCCATTTCTGAAGGACAAGCTACAAGTATAATCTTCCAAAGACACTTCAAATATCCTCATATGATGCAAACACGCATAAAGGAGTACCCGAGACATTTGAAAATGAAAATATTCATTTCCATGCAAAGCTTACAATGTGTGGTTTACATATTATAAGATATTAATTACAAAGAAGGCCACTAGCATGCCTAGGCATGCCTTATTAGTCTTAAGTTAATTTTAAATTTGCCTGATATGCTCTGCATACAAAGGGGCTCTCGGCATGTACACCCAACTATTATATTCCTTTGTATAACTATGTAGCATGTAAAAATAAAAATTATTATTATTATTATTTTGGGAAAACTAATCCTAATTCTTACTCTATACTAACACAGGTTATGGAGAAGTACATTTTAATAATTATAATTGGATATCAAATTGGAGAGGAGGGTCCCATAGTCCCATAACAGACAAAAAACATTATCTATGGAGGCAAGAAGGGAATGTATGAAAGTAAGTAAGAAAGTAAGTAAGTTTATTCAGGTATACACAAATACAGTTACATAGAATTATCATACATAGCAGCATATGTGTAGAGAACCTGGGATAACCCAAAAAAGTCAGACAGAGTGACTTATTTCCATTGGGGTCCTTTTACCTTATTATTATAATATAAAGGATTTAATATTTTCTTATTATTCTATAATGAGGATAACATCTTATTATCATACTAAAAAGACTATCTACTACACGAGGGTCATGACTAGGAATAAGGTAAATTTTACACGTATGTTAGCTAAAAAATAGAAAATCATTCCCCTCCCTTTCTGTAGCTACATTCATCAAACACCTTTTGGCACTCTTCTTGAACTGGTTCATGCTATGACTGGCTTTGACATGTGCGGGCAGTCTGTTCCATTCCTTTATTGCTGTACAAAAAAATGTGTTTGAAGCCGGGCCCAATGACTGTGGGTACTACAAAGTTGTGCTCTCTCCCCCTATTTACTATGATTGCTTTTGGTTCCCAACCTTGACAAAATTGACAGCAAGATATTCTGGACACTGTGAGCAATTTTATAAACATGATTTAGCTTCAGTTGTTTTACTCTGTCTTCAACATTCAGCATATCCAACTGCTGTAATTCATCCTGGCCTACATGCTCTCTTGGTCCCAGCCCCAGGATGAATCTTACGATTTTGTTCTGGGTAATTTGCAGTCTATCTTTCAGTTTTTTTGTCAAGGCAGAGTACCATGAAGAGCAAGTGTAATCCATATGGCATTGTATAAGGGCTAGACATAGGGTCCTGCGAGCCTCAGTACATAGACACTTTGCTTGTCTATACAGGAACTTCAGTCTGGCATTCGCTTTCTTTACTACACTGTTCCCCATCAATTCTCCTGACATGCATGGGTCAAAGGGGATTCCCAGATATTTTACTGATGAAACCAAAGTGATGGGCTCCCCATTACACTGGACATTAAAATTATTTACCTTTCTCAGATTATGTTTCGTGCCAAAGGGAATGGCTTCAGTTTTCCCGAGGTGTAATGATAGTTTATCTACTAACCATTTGCTGCAGGACTCCAGTTCCAGTGTTAAAACATTAGCTAAATCTTGTGGGTCTTTACCTGACACTAACAGAGCACTGTCATCTGCATACAGTAGGAGTTTGCACTTGACACTGATAGGCATGTCATTGACATAACATAAGAATAATAAGAGACCCAGAATACTACCTTGGGGAACTCCACATGCTATCGGCAGGGGTTCTGATTCCGTTTTGTTGATTTTGACAATTTGTCTCCTGTTGCTAAGGTAGGACTTAAATCAGTCTACAGAACCTATACCGATAACTTGAAGTTTCTTACATAATATATTGTGGTTGACAGTATCGAAGGCCTTTTGCAGGTCTAAGGTTACCATACCTATGAGGTTCCCCTTTGACATTTCAGTTCTCAGGTAATCCATCAGATTAATTAGGGAGGTGTCGGTTGAGTAAGATCTTCTAAAGCCCGACTGATAGCTATGGAGAATGTTGTTGTCATTAAGGTACTTAACTACTTGAGAGTACACCGCCCTCTCTAGAATTTTGGATATTATACTGAGTATACTAAGAGGCCTTTATACATAATTGCTTACATCAGACCTACTATTTTTCTTGAACTCTGGTCTCCTTGAACCCATCCGGTAGGGTATTAGTGGTGATTGAGATTTATTATGTGAGCAATAGGGATTGACAGTTCAGAAGCACCATCTTTTAGGAACTTAGACGGGATGTTATCCGGGCCGGTGCTCTTAGTTGGGTTTAACCTGCTTAGTTCTTTTTGAATAAAGTCATGAGATACACTTACTAGTTGACAACTGTTTGGGGTTACCCCTTTATTGGTATAGTGTGTTTGAAACTTATCAGAGTCTGTGTTAAAGGTATTTGATGCAGCTGGTAGTTTACTTACTAGAGTTGAAACAGATGTGTAGTAGGAATTAAAGCAATTTGCCACCTTAGATGTTTCATGGCATACCTCGCTATCGATAGTGAGTACTATGTTAGACCTATCTACTGGCTTATGGCTATACCCCAACTGTTTTAGTTGTTGCCAGAGCTTTCTGGGGTTATGCTTATACTCTTCAATTTTTGAGCAATAGTGCTTTGCCTTTGCTCCTTTTATAAGTCTCTGCACTCTGTTCTCACCCCTTTTAAATTCATTTAGTGCTGCAATATCCTGTCTGTTTGCTTTAAATCTTTTTAGCAGCTGGTCTCTGAATTTCATATTATCTAATATCTCAGTATTCATCCAGGGTTCAGTTCTTTGTTTAATCCTAACCTCTTTAACTGGAGCAATATTATCAAGGATGGTAGTGAACATTGTTTTGAATTTTTCCCAGGTATCATTTATGTCCGTGCAACTTGTTATCTCTGTCCAGTCACAATTGTGCAGCCTATTTACCAGTGTTTCTTTACTGTAGTTTCTAGTTGACCTCATTTTTATTATCCTGTGTAGGCCTATCCTATTCCTAGTGATTTTCTGGCGCAGTAAATGATGAAATGATCACTAAGACCTGTGTAATGACGCCTGACTGACTAATGTTCTCAGAGCGGTTACAAAGTATGTGGTCAATTAGAGTGGCTGAGAACTGTGTGATCCGGGTTGGTGTATTAATTAGTTGAGTGTAACTATTTAAACCTAGAATTTGCTTATACCTTTTGCATAGCCCGTTATTTTGCTGCTGAAAACAGATATTGAAGTCACCCAGTATTATTGTCTTGCGATTGTTTTCAAGTCCGGACAATACTCTGGAAAAGTCTTCCAAGAACTGGTCATGGGTAGGAGGGTGGTAACTAGTTCCTACTAAGATGGGTTTGGTCTTGGGAAGCAGCACTTCAAAAATATAGAATCTCCAGTTTATTGCTATTTAAATCAGGTCTTGGGTTGTAAGCTAAGTCATTTCTAATGTATGCACATACCCCACCACCCTTTCTGTTCCTATCTAAGCATTTTATATTGTAACCTTCTATTTTGACCTCATCATCAGTCACCGTATCATCCAACCAGGATTCAGAGATGGTTATAACTGCCACCCTAATTTTGTTAGCTAGAATCCTAATCTCTGCCAATTTAGGAAGAAGTGATCTTGCATTGACATGAATAAAGTGAAGGCCTGTTTTCATAAAACAATTACATGTATAATCATCAATATATGGCAATGGGTCATATCTATTAAAATTAGGTAAATCAATATTATTGCTAAATGGTAACTGTGCCAAAATGCATTTGTTACACACAAAGTGAATTCTGGCACTGTTACTATAATTGTACATACATCCATCATGCACCCACCCCTTACACATTTTACATAAGGTGCCTTTTCTGTTTTTCATGCGTACTTTAGTACAGTGTATGCACCTGTTTGGTAATGTTTGAGATAATAATTGCTGTACTGCCTCACATTGACCTATGTATGCATTACATATGGAGTTAAGGCTATCATTCCTAGCTACTAGACTGTCATTATCACCATCATTTATCTGTCTGTTTTGCCTCTGCACAATAGTTTGAGGTCCTGGATTAATTTGGATATCACCACTTAAGAGCGCTACAATAAGAGCTGTGTGCCACTGTTTTTGTTTGGGTATGCGGTGTTGCCATACCTTGCGGCGATAGTGACATTTACTTTTCTGGTAGGATGGCAACTGTTGGGCTTTTACTGTCCAGGGCGCTATTACTCCATTCACCTTTTCCAGCCCCCATGACTGATTTCTTTCTTCATGGAATTGAAGGAGAAAGATAAATATAATTATGGCAGCCTGTACCCCCCTAATGCCTGCCATTTTCACTCTTCGCTCTTTTACTCGTATACAATAATATTTATTTCTCTTTTCCAGTCACCTAGTACAGTATTACCAACACTCTTATATGGGTGTGAAGCTCGGGTTGTAAATGCTGCAGCGAGGCGGCGGTTGGGGGTGGTGGAGAAGTCCTGTCTAAGGGCAATGTGTGATGTAAATATTATGCAGAGAATTCGGAGTATGGAAATTAGGAGAAGGTGTGGAGTTAATAAAAGTATTAGTCAGAGGGCTGAAGAGGGGTTGTTGAAGTGGTTTGGTCATTTAGAGAGAATGGATCAAAAGAAAGACATGGAGTGCGTATAAATCTGTAGGGAAAGGAAGGAGGCGTAGGGGTCGTCCTCGAAAAGGTTGGAGGGAGGGGGTAAAAGAGGTTTTGTGGGTGAGGGATTGGACTTCCAGTGAGCATGCGTGAGCGTGTTAGATAGGAGTGAATGGAGACAAATGGTACTTGGGACCTGACGAGCTGTTGGAGTGTGAGCAGGGCAATATTTAGTGAAGGGATTCAGGGAAATCAGTTATTTTTATATAGCTGGACTTGAGTACTGGAAATGTGAAGTACTTTGCCTGCACTTTAAAGGAG